ATAAACAACCCGATCACCTTAACCAACGACTTATAACCTACACTTTACCTTCCTAATCTAACTTTACTTAAAAACACAAACCCCGACCTACCTTCCCCACATGCCTAAATTAGATCAGTATTCAATCTGCGTTTTATTAATAAGTGTAATAACTTACTGCACCGTCGATGTATTCAACATAATATAACCTGTGAGGTATTCGGTATTATCGGATTAAATATCGATTTCGATGCGGATCGATATATCGCTTATTAAATCCTGATTTCTAACATTGGCTGTTTCTAATCAGCTGGCAACACATATAGGTTCCCAAGAAAGTAGTCACCGGTCCGTATCCCTCCGCTCCTTGTTTATGCTCCGCGTATTGAGAAAGTAGTTCCGTATATTTTATCGATTTGCAGTGAATTCCGCGCCTTAAAAAAATGTTTTAACGGTATTTTCTTGTTTATTAAGATCATAGGAATGGTTTAAAAACGTTTAAAAGAAAAGTCTAGAAAGTTCAGAAATACCTTATGATTCTATTGTTTACATTTTTCTTGTAAACAAAAAACCTGTCATGGCTACTTTAGTCCCATAAGCCTAATGTTAAAAATTGGAAATTGTAAGTTCGTTTTAAATTGCATTAGCATTATCTAATTGAAATTTGTTTGTTTAAAAACCATCTCACTATTAGTCTAAGTAATTTTGTTAAGTTTGGATAAATTGCGTTCAGCCGTTATCGAGTGATGTTTCTCTATTTGTTGCATTGAAGTTGATCCCAAAGAGCTTCGCTCGCTCCGCTCAATTAGTATGTTAACTGGTATCCCTTTTTTAGGAGGAACCTTTTTAATAGTATTGAAATCGTATTGGTGGATCTTTTGTAGTTAAAAACTTCCGCGATTTCATCAGTGTAATAAAGATCAATCTATGATTTTATTTGAGAAAAAATATCTGTTTGTTGAGAAGACACGTTCTAACTTCAAAGGGAAGTCCATCCGTTACAGTGTGAGTTTGATTTTTCCTTCGCCACGTCGCGTCTGTTCATATCGTACTTCTGTGCCAATGAATAACCCTCTAGCATAGTTTTGAGAAATTGATTGTTGGGTTACTGTTAAAGCCAATAAGACACTTCTGCACTTGTATTATTTTGTATTGTATTACACTATCGAAGATTTTTCCAATGATTGAAAACATGTATGACAATAACCTCATGAACCTATGATGGTCTGTCTAGAATCTATATATATAAAATCCAATGTATGTTTGTTTGTTTGTTTGTCCTTGATGGACCCCGAAACTGCTTGACAGATTGTAATGAAACTTTCAGGCAATTTTAAGCATTATTCAAGTATGGTTTGTGCAAAGTTTGGTGCAGATCCGTCAAAAGGGCTCCGCCCCAGTGGCTCTGGAGTTTCCCATGTTAACCTTATGAGTACTCATATTTAAATGGAATTACAGAATCTTAACAGCTGGTTCAACTAAACAATTTTATTCTGTGATGTTCAATATCATTAAAAGGTTAATAGGTTTACCAGTAGCACTATTATTTTTTTTTTAATTTATGAAAACAGCTAATTTGCAACCAAAAGGTGAGTGAGCGTAGCGAACAAACTTCAACCTGGAGGCGAGTTAGCGTAGCGAACGAGCTAACCTGCCAACCTAAAGATGAGTGAGCGTAGCGAACGAACTTCAAACCAGGACATAATTGAGCCATGCGAACGAGCTCATCTTGAAAATGAACGAGCATTTGACATAAAACCACATTAGGACAGGACGACGTCTGTCAGGCCAGCTAGTAATATGATAAAATATAGCCAAAAGTGGTGAAAAAAGCAGACACCAACCCGTACAATAGATATAAGATAGTTCAAGAAATAATTGTAAGAGTTACTGTGATAAAAGGATTTTCCACTAATTTAGTAATGGAACGTTATATTGCAAAACATGACATGATATAGGAGAAAATCAATTTCAAAATCAGAAAATAGCATTGCAAATACTTCTTTTGGACAATTCAGTTCCCAATAAATGTGTGTTGTTTAAAATACAATTCACTAATTAACAGCTGTTTCATTAAAAAGTATTATCCATATGGCCAAAATGTAAACAAATCTGAGGAGGGATCTATAAAGGCTTCTGGGGCAGAGCCCTAAGGGAATTTACTTTGTTTTTCTTTTGATAGCTCATCTACAAACCAAGACATTTTTTTGACACCTCTACCAAGTTTCTACGCCCAGCCGTTCTCTCAAATTAGCGGAGACAAAGTTTCCAATTAAATATTTAGAGTCCCCCATGTTAATCTTATGGGAGCTAGACTAAGCGAATTTCCTTTTGCCTGATTGAATTTTTGCTAAAATATATTCTGAAAAATGTCTTTTTAAATCTCTATTTAAATGGCATTAGTGTAATGAGTACCCTACTCAGGTTTGCTGTTACAGGAAAAGTAAAAAAGTGTTTTCTTAATAGTTTAGTATGAAATACCATAGACTAAGCAACACAGATTAGCTTGAGCTGTTCCATAAAGATGACAAATCTACTAAGGGAGTATGTTTTATCTATGGAAATACTAATAAAAAAAAATTTTGATACTATAAACACTTTTTTTCAAATTTGAATTAAATATGTTTGTTATAAACAAGCGAACTACAACAGTTTATTTATTCTTCATAAAAATAATATGGGGATTTTGAATTTTATTTTTTTAATGTTCTTAATAATTAAGTGCATAACAAGGAACTATACTAAATTATATTTATGCTATACAAAATAGTTTGGGAAGAAATTCCAAAATTTTATGTTGGCATATAATCCCCCATAAACCTCTGTTCCCATGGTCATGCTGGTTCCCGAACTCATTCGAACATATTTAGGTTTACACGTTTGTACATTACTTAATCGAAATTGGTAATTTGTGCTTAAATTTCTTTGATAACGGACTTACACACACACACACGTAGCCTATATATACATATGAATTTGTACGGATGGTTTTTTTGGCTTCTGGGAATCTCAAAACGTAAAAGTAATTCGGTCTTGGGTCCAGATCTAATCATGAGACCTACTGTAATACTTATTCCCAATATGGGAAATTGGCTATAAGAACCATCTTAATAATGTTGTTGATGAGATCCGTAGTGAATTACACTTTAGTAAAAGTTTTAAATCAAGGAAGTTCCACTACTGAAAATCACTCTCCAAGTTTCCACAAGATAAGAACCAACATTGATCTTATTATTTCTTTGAATGTCCGGACTTTTTACTTTGTTATTGATCCTATTATTTCTTTGAATGTCGATACTTTCAACTTTGTTATTCAAGTCAAATATTATTATGTACATTTTCCTTACCACTGTATACAGGTATAGTATTTTAATAACACTAGTTTTCAAGGAAGATAAAATATAATATCACTCAATCTCAAGAACAGAACAAATTCCAAATAACAATCCTCAAGTTTTTGATGTAGAATTGGTTTGAGACAGTGAATTTAAAATTTTTTCAAAATCACAAAAGGAGGAAGCAGAAGTAAATACCCCTGCCGCAGCAAACCTACAGACTAAGCTAATTTCCATTTGCCTGATTTGATTTTTAATTATATATATTTCAATAACATTAGGTAATAATTACCTAGGTTAATAATGAGGTTAATAATTAATAATGAGTACCTAGGTTTGCTGCTACAGGGAGGGTTATATAGTGTGTTTTTAGTAAAATGTTCATAGCTTAAAAAAAAAAAAAAATATTTCCCAAGTTTGATAAAAATACATCCATAAATAAGCAAAATACAACAGTTTACTTATTCTCCTTAAGAATAACATGGACATTTTAAATTTCATATGTTCATTTTTAAAATTCATCCCCAATATATTATAGTAATACCCCCCACATTACTAAGTAACGCTTTGGCAAAATGTGTAACACTTTTGACACAAACAGGAGCTCAATAAAATCTTCAACTATTTGGATGTTACACGTTACAGCTGCAAATTCGCGGTTTCGGTTCTTCAATCTTAAAAGCACGGTCGGGGCATCCTCGATATCATCCTATTCCATACTGAAAAAATTCAAACACTGGCCAAACAGCTGGTCTTCTGCTTTGTTATTGAACTGCTCGACTAAAATGTCTCACGCTTCCTTAGCTGATAATCTTCCAGAAATACGTTGATGTAGATCATCACTAATGCACTGAAAAATTACTATTTTTGCCTGAGTCGTCGATTTGTTGAATTTCTCAAGTTTTTCCTTTACGGCTTTAGTCGGAGGCTCAGAGACGGTAGGCTTTTCTCTCTTTCCCTCGACGATATCAACTGCGTTGAACAACTCCAGAACGTCCAACACACGGTCTTTCCACATTGGCCAATCTTCTGCTCTTTTCAATGGTTTTATACCTTTCACATATTCCATTTGTAGCGCTGGACAAACTCGATAGAAAGATATTCCAAAGAAATACTCGTGAGACAGAAAATCGTGTCAGAACAAATTGTTCTTACACTGTTATGTACATAAAACAATTCTCGGGACCATAACCTCTTTGAATTATTCTCCCAAGTGGAGTTGTTTAGGGAAAATCTAAGTTTAACTACGATGAAAAACCAATTTAAACCATAAAACAAGCAAAAGACATGGAACAAAATTGGACCAACAAAACAGACAGCTGATAATAAATAATATTCATATCATCTGTAGTATGACTCTACCAAATAACAAAAGGCAGGCATTTTCAACAAGCCATTGAGAACTTGTCATTAGGTAAATGCAGAATAAAAAATATTCACATTATCTTCGGCAATAAAATCAAATATATTATACCTTTAGTGCAATCTAAAATGCTAAAATGGTGGACCATATTGCAACGACTAACAATACAATTTTTAATATAATGAGAGGATCTATTTGTATACTGTGTATACTGTATTTAGTCTACACCAACTCAATATTTGATTAACTATTTCTGTTGTACTTTATGTTATCACAGGTGATTTTTGAAACTCACAGAAAAATATAAAAACCACTGATAGTCAAACACATTTGTTTTTCAAATTTGTAAAATATAGTTTATTTAAACACGATGAAAACCATTTGCTAGTCTTTGTAATGTGTGATTGTCAGCAAACAAGAAGTGGTTTGAAAAACATTTGCAGAAAGTGTAAACAAATTTATTTGGTTGATTTCAATAATTGTGAATCTCAGAACAAGACTTCGTGTTTAATGACCCAAATCCACAGCCAAATTGGCACTGAACAGATAACAGTTACAACTAATCTAGACCATTTGTGTTCATTGGACATAAGAATGAAGGTATCAAACATCCGCCTGTCTAGTATCATATGCACTATCGGGCCATCGTGTATCAGCTCAGATATGCTAGAGCAAATGATGGAATCTGGGATGAACGTAGCTCGTCTCAACTTCTCCCATGGTTCTCATGAAGAACATGCAATAACTATATCCAACATCCGGGAAGCAGTCAAGAAGCGCAGTAAAAGATTAGGCAGGACTGTCCTGCTTGCTATCGCTCTAGACACCAAAGGTCCCGAGATCCGAACTGGCTTATTGTGTAAAAGAGGTCCATCAGAAGTTGAGCTTAAGAAAGGCAACACTACTAGACTAACGACAGACAGCGAGTTTTATGACAAGATCAGTGAACAAAATATTTGGATTGATTACTGTAACATCACCAAAGTGCTTCGTCCAGGAAACAAGGTCTTCATTGATGACGGACTAATATCACTTGTTGTTAGTTCTGTGGGATCAGATTTTGTAGAATGTAGAGTTGAAAATGGAGGAAAACTAGGTAGTAAGAAGGGAGTAAACCTTCCTGGAATTTCAGTAGATTTGCCAGCAGTGTCTCAGAAAGACGAAAGTGACCTATTGTTTGGAGTAGAGCAAAGGGTTGATATGATTTTTGCCTCTTTTGTACGAGATGCTGCTGCAGTGTATAGGATCAGAAGTATTCTGGGTGATAGAGGGAAAGACATTAAAATAATTGCAAAAATAGAGAACCACCAGGGGTTGGCAAACATGGACGAAATTATAGATGCTGCAGACGGTATCATGGTAGCGAGAGGAGATCTTGGAATTGAAATACCAACAGAACAAGTCTTTTTGGCTCAGAAAGCTATGATTGCTCGCTGTAATAAAAAAGGCAAGCCCGTAATATGTGCAACACAGATGCTGGAGTCGATGACTAAAAACCCTCGTCCCACTCGTGCTGAAAGTTCTGATGTAGCTAATGCTATTCTAGACGGCGCAGACGCTGTTATGTTGTCAGGAGAAACTGCTAAGGGAGAGTATCCTCTAGAGTGTGTAGCCACCATGGCTAATATCTGTAAGATGGCTGAGGCAGCTGTTAATCATAAGCAACTCTTTGCTGATCTTGTCACGCACATGAAGGGACCCTTAGAAGCTAACCACACCATCGCCATTGCTGCAGTAGAAGCAGCTGACAAATGTAAGGCAGCATCTATTGTTGTCACCACCACCACTGGCCTCTCCGCCCACTTAATAGCCAAGTATAGGCCACATTGCCCTATTATTGCTATTACTAGAGCTTTACAAGTAGCTAATCAATGTTTAATCTACCGCGGTATCACACCTCTTTTGTATGAGGAACCAATGGATCCAGAGTGGCACAGGGATGTAGAAGCTAGAATAAATTTTGCTATTAACTTTGGGAAGGTTAGCAACTTTATCAAACTAGGAGATCCAGTAATTGTGGTGTCTGGTAGAATGGAAGGAGCGGGCTTCACAAACACAATTCGCATTTTGTATGTGCTTGAATAACATCAAGCCAAAAGGAGCTGGATCATAATCATTAAACTTTGTTCTTTATTATTTGGTTGTTTGAAATATCACCAAATAAATGTCTCTCTGGACTGTGGTATAACAGAATACATCGTCCATACTACCCTGCAAACAATGTTTAATAATTTAAGCACATTTACCGTACCGTATAGAGAATGGAATATGCTATTAAGTTTACCGTAGGTGTTATAGTAAGACTAAAGCTTTCACTTTAAAAATAATAAAAGAAACCCTTTAAATGTTAGAACACAAACTCAGTTTATTCATAACAGAAAATTACAAAAAGTAAAGATAAACATTTAACAGACGACTTAGATAATTTTTGACTGAGCCAGGTAATGTGAATTTATTACAATCTTCCCCTCTAAAAAGAGAAAAGGCAGACCAAACAATTTACAAGTTCAATCTAACAGGTTGAAGTCTTTTGGTGTGGAATATTCATAGCTGATAGGTACTTCATAGGGTACTTGATGGGGTGTAGGCACAGCCACCTCTAAAGCTGGGTTTTCCTAGACGCGGAGTCGGCCAGCGGAGAGCGGACAACGGAGAGCGGAATTGAAATTAACATGGCATTCCGCTCCGCTGCTAGGAAAACAGTAACATTAAATTACCTAAGACAAGCTGAGTCCGCTCTCCGTTGTCCGCTCTCCGCTGGCCGACTCCGCGTCTAGGAAAACCCAGCTTTATACAGTATTAGAGGTGGCTGTGGTGTAAGTAATTGGCATTAGGGTTTCCACTGGATCAGGTGTATAGCTTACCTACTGGAGTAGTTTATTAGGAGTAGGTTTGGTCTGGAACTGGAATAGAGTATTTAAAATAAACAGGAGCGGGGTTGAATACTAAACAGGGTCAAGAGTCCTTGGGGGCCAGCGGCCATCTTGGATAATTTCAAACAGCTGATGAAGGGTTAATCTATATCTATAAAAGAGGAACTATGTATGTATGTATGTGTGTGTGTGTGTGTGTGTGTGTGTATACGTTATGGACTCCGAAACCGCTTGACAGATTGTAATGAAACTTTCAGGCATTATTAAGCATCTTTCAAGGATGGTTCGAGTGAAGTTTGGTGCAGATCCGTCAAAAGGGCTCTGCCCCAGAGGGTTTTAAGTGGGCCAATGTCAGACTTTTTGATCTACAATGTTTACAAATAAATATAATTTAAAAGCAGATGTTTACTTTCACCAACTGTTTTGTAGGTTTGAATAATCACAACATTCTGTATTAGCATTAGTCATGATTTGAAATAGTGCCACAGTGTTACTACAGAGTGCAGCACAGAGAACTATTTTACTTTTTAATAAGTCCAAATGTATCAAACCCCAATCGCAGCACACCTGTGCAGTCAACATCGTTTAAATCCTCCAATGTTAAATATTAAAACATAAAAACCTTTAGCAAACAATTTATGACAACCGCTAATTTGCAACCAAAAGGTGAGTGAGCGTAGCGAACGAACATCAACCTGGAGGCGAGTAAGCGTAGCGAACGAGCTAACCTGAAAACATGTGAGCGCAGCGAACGATTTCCAACCTGAAGGTGAGTGAGCGTAGCGAACGAACTTCAACCAGGACGTGATTGACCCATGTGAATACTTATGAAGTTAAGCGGGGCAAAGCCCGCGGGTACAGCTAGTTATCATCTAAAAATAGGTTTTTAAACATCAAAGTGTTTAATTTAAATATCTAGTAAACTATGAGATTAAAAATTTGCCTTGTTGTTTTAAATTGGTTTCCAAGAATCCAAGGGAGTTCATGGAAGCATACGGCCATCTTGTATTTGCCCGCCATTTTTTTGTTGGGAGAGGAGATAAAAATGCTTTTACGCCCACAGTTAAAGTTTAAGTTTAGCCAGCCTGTTGTGTTGAGACTCCTGAGCTTATCAGAGAAAAAAAGCACTGTTAATTTCGTTATTTTCAAACAGCCGCTGAAGAGTTATTTACCATCCCAAAAATATTTTTTTTAATACCAAAGTGAATAGTGATTGTAATTTAATTATCTAGTATACTGTGAGATTATAAATTTTCTTTGTAGTTTTTTAATGGTTTGAGTTAGTACGTCTAGACTCCCAAAAACTCTTAAGGACAACTTGGGACTTAAGAATTGGCGTGGTCGATTTGTAACCATAGGAAATTAGCGTCGAAGCTGAAATGGAATCTGCGTAGCTCACTGTCGGTGGAGAAGGAGTTGAGTACACAGGGAATCAATAGTTTTACCAGAACAGCATAGGTACATATTCATAGCTAACTGCAGGTGCTGGTGTTGAATACTTGATAGGCTTCAATGGAGTTGGAGTAGAATGTTTAAAGTATGTGGGAGTAGAAGTCATATGTAGCCAACTGGACTGGTTTCAGTGGCACAATCAGTGTTTTGAGAACTGTCGGCACTACAGGTTTCACAGCTGCACACGACTACTCGTAGGAGATAGCCGGGGCGGGTGGTGTGTAAGTTAGGCCTACTATATAGTTTTCATGGCTTATTTGCGTAGGTTACAAAACCATTTGAACTAGAACTGCAGAGTAGCCTTAGCTCACACAGGTATGACAGAGGGTGGTCGAGGCACCGAGGATTTAGTTACAGCAGGCTTCACTGATGGAGGAGTGGGGTGGAACTGTATGAAATAGCTGGTGCTACTGGCTTCACGTAGCTAACGGCACAGAAAACATACTACTAACTATAACCCAGAATGCTAACCGCATGGTAAAAAGCGTTAAGTACTCGGAGAGAGCTTTACCTGTCAATATGTAGGCAGCGCCACCAGCGCTGCTATGCTGGTGGCGCTGCCTGCGAATTGATAGGCAAAGCTCTCTCCGAGTACTTAACGCTTTCTACCATGTGGTTAGCATTCTGGGTTATAGTAGTATGTTTTCTGTGCTGACGTGCTCAATGGTTGCTGGAGTTGGCTTTAAAAACTTGACAAGCGTTATCAATTAAGTGTTAAATTGCAGCAGACATATGGAGCATTACCGATCTTTTCTTCAAATTGTTCTGAATATTGTAATGAGCTTCTTTTAGCGAATTTCCTATATAGGGAATGAGCTATTTTAAGATTAGAGCAATTTAAAGTGGTTAGTTTATGAATGGACAGTTGAGAGTCTAAGGGAATTTTTAGTTGTCGCAACCAATCACGCCCTATTATTTTATTAGTTAGAGCTATTAGAGCTATCCATAACAAACAAGTTGAGGTTTGTAGATTTGTTGTTGTACCCTACGCTATGTACTACCATATGCTGTGGACCTACTACAGACAGGAACATCTTTTCCAACATAAAAGTTAAAATCCATTTCATCTTCAAGCTTGCCAGGATCATCATGTTCTAAGTCTTCGTGAACTTGGCTTCTTGATTTTGTTAAACTTGATATACACACTTTTTAGATATCACTACTATGGCATATAGATGGCTATGGCATAGACTACAAAATAGGGCCTTAATGTCCCGGTCACACAATTTTGCCAAGTGGTTACTCTCACCACAACGCACACATAGTCCTACAATTCAAAGACACTCATAACATCTCTTTGGATAATTTTTAATTTGTCTTGCGTGGTGAGTTATCATAAACCTGTTTGTTTTTTATGTAAACTTTATTAAATGAGGTACGGTAAAGCGACAACAGGATTGAATCTGACCTGGGCCGTCCTTGGCCCCCTGGGGCAGCCATGCAGAATTTTCCGAGGGTGCAACAGTAGGACTGAGAGGAATTTCCTCGTTCTCCCTGCCTGATTACCATCACCCTACCATACACATAGTGAACTAATGGGCTAGTGGCTCATGTAATCGTTCATGGAATTATTTACTCTAGGTGTATATTTGTCAGCACTTGTCTTTTATACACACTTTTGTCTTTATTAAAACAATTTAGACAGGTATAATTGCCTTTTACAGTAACTAGTGTCCCTGTTGCTCGAATCCGAGCAATAGCCAAGTATTACAGGCATTATTTTAAAACAAATAACAGTCATAATTTCTGATGACTCAAAGATTATAGAAATACTCAAAGATGTACCTAACTGATTGGTATAACCAACATTTTTTGTAAATATCTATCGTTTTTCAAAAGCTGATCTTGTTTTCTGCAAATAGCCATACTCATAGCCGCATTAGGTTGTCCATAATGATGATTATCAGTGTTGCCAATCCAATATGGCCCAATTACCCCCTCCAGAGCAAAGAATTACCCGCTTTTTCTCAAAATTACCCTCAACAAACCAAAAATTCCCTTTCGACACTCTTGCCTGTCTCTAAAAGTAACGAATACAAACCCTGATAAATTAGTTTTGAGTAATCCCACAAATTAAGATGTAAAGAACTAAATATGGGACTTGAGACTTGTAATTAACCTTCATAATGAAATTTTCAATCTTATGACCTTAAAAAAATAATTACATAAGTTACTTAGGCCTACAATGATTTGGTTTTTTTTTATGATAGCCTATGTGATATAATTATTTAGTAATGAGTAAGTACTGTTAAAAATTTAATTTTTTATTATTAATAGGGAGAAAATATAGTTATTATAACCAATAAATATTATTATTCCCCTGTTTTATATTTTTCATCCTCTTTAGAAGTAGACTAGAGACTAGACTAGTACGGTATTTTCCTTCCACCATGGTTTCAGGCATTAAATTAAGGCCAGGCTACCACCAAAAGTTTTTCCACTCCAATCCAAAAGAAAAGACTACAAACAACCGTACTGACTGAAACTGAAACTGAACCGAACGAACCGACTGAACGCTGTAGCCTACTAGAGTGACTGAGTCACTGAGTGAACTATATCTCAATGGTGAGAACTGAACCAAACTAATGAAGGTTAAGAGAAGTTGTGTAAAACGATAAAAAGTCTATGAAATTACTTTAATGGGAAACAAATACAGGGAAATATTTTTCTTTTAGTGAAATATAAAAGTAATAATACGAAAAACAAATAATATTTGATCAGTTGTCATTTACCCGCTTTTTACCCGCCTATTTGCCATTACCCGCAGCATTACCCCCAGGTAACTAAATTACCCGCTTTTCGGGTAATTAC